AGGCTTCAGATAGAAATGCCTTTCCACCTCTGAGAATGACAAGGAAAGCACATCCTATGTATTGTCAAGACTGAATAAACTACATGGGATTCTACTCTGGGTCTTCTTGGTGAGTTGGACCCTGCCTGTGGATGCCATCAGCTCAGCATGTAGTTATACAATCCGTACAGACTAGTCTCAGGAACTTATGTGCAAATACATAAATTGGTGGTTGAGACAGAACAACATAATTTCCCCTTAATACGAGCTGCATTTATATATATATATATATATATACTCACTGAGGAAGACATGGTTGAAATTTTCCCCCCAACTGGGTACAGTATCCATAGTTTGCGCCTATTCTGTTCATTGGGCGCATGCGCAGTTCCGATTCTTGGCAGGGAGACAAGCAGAGACACAAGGTAAGTGTATGGACGCGTGCAACCGCATGCAACACCGCTGGATCAGAGAGACAGAGCAGTCAGCGCTGGATCGGAGAGCTGCCGCAACGCTGGAGGGACAGATGAAAACATCAGGGAAGAAGAAGAAGATCGGAATAAGAGACATTATTCAAGGTAAGTGCTAACGTTAACATGGGGAGAGGGAAAAATTTTTTTTAGTTTAATGTCACTTTAAAAATACATTCAAGTACCTTAACTATTAACATAAATGTATATTATTTGTGTATCACTCGGCTGTAGATCCTCAAATCATCTCTGAATTGGTGCTGACACTGTCCTTCCTTCTGGAGGGCGGCTACTTTTGTTCCCCATGGTCCCTGTGTGTATTGTAAAGTAGCCACCACTCCAAGCTCGCTCCTGTGATGGACTCAGGCCCGGATTCCCCACAAGGTCACTGAGGCAAGGCCTTGGGGCGGCAGGGCGCTGAGGGGCGCCAGCGTTGTGGAATCTCCTGACGCCCGGAACATGCAGTACCAGGTGGTAAGTTATTTTCTACATTTAGACCCTGCTTTGGGAAAGCAGGGCTGAATGTAGTGTGAAGCCGCTTGTTCGTTGCCCCCCCCACCTACCTCTCTCCTGGCTCTGCCGCTGAGTCTCTCACTGGCAGCTGATGCGGTGAGCAGAGCTACAGGGTTAAAAGTAGGGATGCACAGATACTTTTCGTGTACCAATGCTGATGCTGAAAAACTGTCACATGACAATAAACAATAATGTATCAGTACTCGTACTTATAAGTACTCGGCAAGTACCAGTACTCGTACTCACAAAACTGGTATCTGTACATCCCTTCATTTATATTTATAAAAACAAAATCGTACATTAAAACAGATGCAGATAATCCCATTAAAAAGAGATGCACTAATTCCAGGAGCTCCGTGTACTCCTTACAAATGATAGCTGCCTCCTAATTTTTGAATTTTTCTCTAGTCTAATCCTTGGAGCTCAAAAGTATCGGTACATGTACTTGGTATCTGTGCAACCCTAGTTAAAAGTAGGGATGTCCCGATACCACTTTTTCAGGACCAAGTACAAGTACTTCCCCACATGTACTTGCCGATACCAATTACCGCTTTTTTTTTTTTTTTTTTTAAAGGGACAGGTGACTTTAAATGATCCATAGTACAACTACATGTTATGTACTATGGATCATGATTTAACCTATTCCTGTTAGCAGGGGAGAATTGTAACTCTATTGCTGGAGTGTAGTGGAGGAGTGTGCTGTATATATGTACTACATTTACATTACACACGTCCAGTACACTATAGCAATGGATTTACAGCCAGCCCTGTCCCAGCGTCCCTCACTAACAGTTTCACTCCAATCCCTGTTGCCTCGCGCAGTCGGCGCTGGGCAGGATCGCTGCATCACGTCTTGGTGCTCAGCTTCTGGGAGGCGCTCACAATTCTGTCCTGCTAACATGAATAGGTAAAATCATGATCCATAGTACATATACAGTACACATGTCCCGTAAACTGCGGTAATAGAGTTACAATTATCCCCTGCTAACATGAATAGGTTAAATGATGCGTAGTACATAACATGTAGTTGTACTATGGATCCTTTAACCTATTCATGTTAGCAGGGGATCATTGTAAATCTATTACTGCAGTGTACGGGACATGTGTACAGATAGAATGCACTGCAGCAATGCACTGCAGCAATAGATATACAATTCTGCACAGCTAACATGAATGGGTTAAATGATCCATAGTACAACTACATATTATGTACTACGGATCATTTTACCCATTCATGTTAGCTGTGCAGAATTGTATATCTATTGCTGCAGTGCATTCTATCTGTACACATGTCCCGTACACTGCAGTAATAGATTTACAATGATCCCCCGCTAACATGAATAGGTTAAAGGATCCATAGTACAACTACATATTATGTACTACGGATCATTTTACCCATTCATGTTAGCTGTGCAGAATTGTATATCTATTGCTGCAGTGCATTCTATCTGTACACATGTCCCGTACACTGCAGTAATAGATTTACAATGATCCCCCGCTAACATGAATAGGTTAAAGGATCCATAGTACAACTACATATTATGTACTACGGATCATTTTACCCATTCATGTTAGCTGTGCAGAATTGTATATCTATTGCTGCAGTGCATTCTATCTGTACACATGTCCCGTACACTGCAGTAATAGATTTACAATGATCCCCCGCTAACATGAATAGGTTAAAGGATCCATAGTACAACTACATATTATGTACTACGGATCATTTTACCCATTCATGTTAGCTGTGCAGAATTGTATATCTATTGCTGCAGTGCATTCTATCTGTACACATGTCCCGTACACTGCAGTAATAGATTTACAATGATCCCCCGCTAACATGAATAGGTTAAAGGATCCATAGTACAACTACATATTATGTACTACGGATCATTTTACCCATTCATGTTAGCTGTGCAGAATTGTATATCTATTGCTGCAGTGCATTCTATCTGTACACATGTCCCGTACACTGCAGTAATAGATTTACAATGATCCCCCGCTAACATGAATAGGTTAAAGGATCCATAGTACAACTACATATTATGTACTACGGATCATTTTACCCATTCATGTTAGCTGTGCAGAATTGTATATCTATTGCTGCAGTGCATTCTATCTGTACACATGTCCCGTACACTGCAGTAATAGATTTACAATGATCCCCCGCTAACATGAATAGGTTAAAGGATCCATAGTACAACTACATATTATGTACTACGGATCATTTTACCCATTCATGTTAGCTGTGCAGAATTGTATATCTATTGCTGCAGTGCATTCTATCTGTACACATGTCCCGTACACTGCAGTAATAGATTTACAATGATCCCCCGCTAACATGAATAGGTTAAAGGATCCATAGTACAACTACATATTATGTACTACGGATCATTTTACCCATTCATGTTAGCTGTGCAGAATTGTATATCTATTGCTGCAGTGCATTCTATCTGTACACATGTCCCGTACACTGCAGTAATAGATTTACAATGATCCCCCGCTAACATGAATAGGTTAAAGGATCCATAGTACAACTACATATTATGTACTACGGATCATTTTACCCATTCATGTTAGCTGTGCAGAATTGTATATCTATTGCTGCAGTGCATTCTATCTGTACACATGTCCCGTACACTGCAGTAATAGATTTACAATGATCCCCCGCTAACATGAATAGGTTAAAGGATCCATAGTACAACTACATATTATGTACTACGGATCATTTTACCCATTCATGTTAGCTGTGCAGAATTGTATATCTATTGCTGCAGTGCATTCTATCTGTACACATGTCCCGTACACTGCAGTAATAGATTTACAATGATCCCCCGCTAACATGAATAGGTTAAAGGATCCATAGTACAACTACATATTATGTACTACGGATCATTTAACCCATGCATGTTAGCAGGGGATAATTGTAAATCTATTGTGTCCAGTGTATTAGCAGTGTGTACTCTATATGTGCTACATATAGAGTACACACTGCTAATACACTGGAGACCATAGATTTACAATTAGTCCCTGCTTTAGTAGTCCCCCCCCCCTTTCCCTCACTCACTGTGCGGGAGAGCAGCGACGAGTCAGCGCTGGTCTGGTGGGAGGAGCTCCAGGTGGGGTCCTAATGTAGCTGTCCCAGAGTGGCCACATTAGGACCCCACCTGGAGCTCCGCCCACAGCAGTGACGCAATGCACTTCCGCTCAGCATGACCAGAGGACCCCACCACGGAAGTTTAAAAGAAAAAAAAACGCAAGCTTCGGCGCTATGCATCGGGGCATTTTGACAAGTACAAGTACTTGTCAAAATGCCCTGTATCGAGCCCGATTCCAATGCTAGCTTCGGTATCGGGACATCCCTAGTTAAAAGTAACCCTGCGCTCCTTGACTTATTTGTATTGAGATTGTAGTCCATCACAGGAGTGAGCTTGGAGCGCTGACTACTTTACAACACACACAGGGACCATAGGGAACAAAAGTAGCCCCCCTCCAGAAGGAAGGACAGTGTCGGCACCAATTCAGAGATGATTTGAGGATCTACAGCCGAGTGATACACAAATAAGATACATTTCTGTTAATAGTTAAGATACTTCAATGCATTTTTAAGATTTAACTTCTGAGTTTAGTGTCACTTTAACTAAAGGGAATAGGGGTGTGGATGTTGTCTTCTCCTATAGCAGATTTATAGGGTCTTAGCACATTGCATAAACAGCCACTATCAAGTGATATCTTGTACAGGCTGGCTAATCATAGATATACATTCTAAGATGCAGGAATTTGATATATTATTTTATTTTTGTAATATTTTAATAATTTTTGGAAACAGTAGCTGATAAACTACGCAATTTTTTCACATTTTGGCTCTCACAAAACTTCATCGGAATCCAGGATTTTGCCTTTTTGTTTTCTCAACTCTCCTTCATATTGGTAATCAATTATGAGAAAAGCCACTTCCACAAAGTCATTGATATTTTACATGTGGCGTGTCAGAGAGCCGTAACACTAAAGTATTATCTTTGAAGTACTGCACCACTTCCATCACACATAATTATGTGGTAGGAGATAAGAGAATCGAGGAAACGAGAAAATCTGAATGTAGTTCAGAGAAACCTTCACATAATCAGCACGGCCTGTGTGTGATTTACAAAAAGGAGATGGTACATATCTACACTGTGGGCAGATTCTTGAATTAAAGGGAACGTTGCAGAAACCCTTCTGTTCAGCCGTATGCGCTAATCACAATAGCCCGGACAGCAGTCGAAGTCTGCCAATGTAAACAGCTGAGCCGAATGCACATGCTTTGGCTCGGCACAGCCGGAGTGGGGGGAAGGATCCGCCAAAGTTCACCGGTTCACCTCCCAATTCATACCAGACCTTTTAGGGGGCCCCGATGTAAAACAAAAGTGTGTGGGGTTTCCTTACAAATTCATGCCAGACCTCACGCTTTTTTAAAGGGTCTGGTATAAATTTGTAGGGGAACACCATGCATTTTGGCTTGGTACATTGCTGACTGAAGCTTGGAGACCATTGTTTTAAATAATGACATTGGGGGGAATTTATCAAAACTGGAGCAGGTTTGCACTGTAACCAATCAGCTTCTTTGTCTCATTTTCAAATCTTACCTGAGCAAATTGAAGAGAGATGCTGATTGGTTGCTAGGGGCAACTGCTCCAGATCTGTCTGCTCCAGTTTTGATAAATTCCCCCCATTAAACACTTGCACCTGTCACCTGATTGTCAATGACAGTTATTAATGTCAACTGACTGATCATTCATTCATTTCAACTGATTCTTCATGAGGGATCAATAAACAGGTTCTCACTTTAAACCTTCTCCTCCATACTACATCCTGTAGTTGGCACCTGTTTATATCGTTGGAATTCAATCCTTCATATATGATCCTTCTAAATAGCTATCCATTGTCAATACAATTTTTTGATGTTTGCAAAATGCAACAATACATATGTTTGAGACCCGCATACATTGAAGATGATGGCAGCTGTTAGTTACCTGAACCCCACAGGGCAGTGCACTGGTTTGCCAGCGTCGGACACTTTCCATGAAGACAATAACCTTGGCCATTCATACAAGAAGCTCCGTCTTTTTTAAAAAGATCGAGGCAGAGATTGGATTTCCCATCACACTTGTCCGGAAGGTCACAGTCATGGAGGCTGAGTCGGCACACGCTTCCCTCTTTTTTTATCTGTAGTAACACCAAATTTCACGTTTTTTTTTTAAATTCTTTATTTTTTAATAGGAAGGGAAGCAAAAAAAAAAGGGGGGGGGGGGGAGGGGGTGGAGCATAGGTAATATTAATGTTCATTTTATATACAGATTTATATGCATTTTTAAATATTTTAAATATTTTAATAATTTGCTTTAAAGGTATTCCCCTACCTTTTTTATTAGCGTTCATAACATCGCAAACATTTTTCCAATAACATTAAGTTATGAACATTAGGATTATGATTTCTTTGTAGTAGGACTATTATTATTTTTTGATAGTGAGCCGGCAGCTAGTTATTTAAACAGCATCTTGATATTTCACGGCTGAATGAAATTGCCGTATTAAGAGGAATTTCGTTAGTGCCTCGGTTTTAAATACGTTCTGTTGTGTATGCGCTCTATTTTAAAAGCGTTCTGTTTTAAATGTGCTCTTTATTGTACTGTGTCTTACCGCCTATTGTATATTGATCTACCATTAAGATGAGTTATAAGTAATGGTAAACGAATGTTCTCTGTGAATCGTTCCTATTGGAATAAGAACATGTACTGTACAAAACTTGGATAAGAAACTGGCTTCTAATGGTCCTTTGAGGACACCTAGTGGCTGTTTTGTAAATTGACTTAGGAGGTGAATATAAATTGATTGAAGTGTGATATCGGAAGTTAGACCTGCGATCCCCCTGAAGACGTCTTTGTATGACGAAACGCGTCGGGTCGGGGCTACACTTCTCGGTATCACACGCAACCAGGAAGCACAGAGGTTTTACTCACAGACGTGTGAGCGGCCGTTTTTAGCGATTTTAAATGTAAGTGGCTACGTGTTGTGTTTAATAAAGCATGCTATCGACTACAACATGAGGAGTCTTTGTCCCTTTTATATTTTTATGACTAAATACTGATCCATATGGTGAGGACGAGACATTTGGAGGTTCACCAACTTTCTTCTGCCTGTGAATATCTTGGTCTGGTGAGTGCGCATCCCAGAGGGGACCTAGATGTGGACACTGCGGTGTGGGATTTCTCTTACTTGTTACGGACACTAAAAATTTAAACTGTTTTTTGGTAATCAAATACCGTTTATTTTTTCACTAATTTTTTCACTTTCAATCAACGAATTTGATATATATTTTTAAAGATTTTGGATCCACATAATATCCACTTTTGGACTCACATTTTATCAATGATTATTTAATATATATTTCACTCACTTTTGCATCCACTTTGCTATATATCACCTTGATAAGCTTGAAGTTTTTTTATACATTTTTCGCATTTGTGGTATTTTATATGTAGAATTGTACATTTTATTTATTTCATGTATTCGTGCATGATTTGGTTTTTTATTGATTATTAACACTTATCAAGTTTTATGTGCCAACACTGATTTTATTTATTGATAATCCTGAGCGCTGCACATCCAGTTATATTATATCTGACCCTAGCGTCCCTAGTACAGCAGCTCTAATATAGAGGTATTTATTCATTTATTTATTAATTTATTTATCTATAAAGCGCGGATTATACATATTTCAACTCCACCATATATTCTGTGTAAGAGCGCCGGTGTTCGGTACCATCTCGTAAGGATCTTATAGTTCGTCTCCTGATATTTAGTGCAAGTCGATGAGTGTAAGGCAAAGTGAATAATGTTTCGATTTTGGGCATCTGAGAGAGTAATCCCTAGCTCCTGCTCCCACCGTTTAAGGAACGCCGGTGTTCCAGGCTCTGGTGATGTAGCGAGGGTAGCATAGATCGCGGAGAGAGTATGCCTCGTCGGACCCCTGGAATCACAGAGTCGTTCAAAAGACGTATGTGTGGTTCCAAAGCTCACTGCTGGTGGTAATGTATGTAAGAAGTGTCTCAATTGGTAGGCTTTCCATGGATCCAAACCAAAATCTCCATCAGGAGCGGTAAGGGATGCCACGGAGGGCCACGGGCCGCCCCGTATGAAATGGGAGGCGTGAAAGAGTTTCTTAGCAATCAGGGAACGGAAAGGGCCTGACAAGGCTCCTGGCGGAAAGGCAGGGTTACCCATAATTGGGTAAAGAGGGGAAGCCTCACCAATTAATCGCCATCTGGAAAAAGCTCTCGAACATACTGAAAGAGTAGTACCAATCAGGGGGTGAGCTTTAAGCAAGGGGGGGGATATTCGAGGGGCACCATGCCGCCCTAGCCAGGAGACAGGGTGATATGGATTCTTCAAGAGGCACCCAGTGTTTTGTAGGTGAATGTCTGCACCAGTCAACCAACCGGACCAGGTGGCTAGCTGCATAGTATTTCCGCAGGTCGGGGAGAACTATGCCCCCCGAGCCTTTAGGTAATGTCAGGAGGGCATGGCTCAGACGAGGATGGCGATTAGCCCAGATAAATTTAATCAACAATGAATTGGCTTGGCGAAAGTACCTGTTAGGGATCGAGATTGGTAGTGCTTGACATAGGTACAAGAATTTAGGCAAAATCGTCAATTTGATCGCGTTGCACCGTCCAAACCAGGATAAAAAACCCTTCTGCCAATTGGAAAGGAGTGCGTGTATCTGTGCCAAAAGAGGTGGGAAGTTGAAGGTAAAGGTATCCTTCACGTCCGGAGGAATAAACGTGCCCAGGTATTTCAATGCTCGGGCCGTCCACTGAAAATTAAAATTACGTTGCAGGGATTGAATGAGTGGAGCTGGGAGTGAAATTCCCATGGCAGTTGATTTGCTGAAGTTTATCTTCAGATTCGATAGCTCGCCGTATGTCGAGAATTCCTGCATGAGATTAGGTAGCGAGATTGCCGGGTTGGTGAGAGAGAACATTAGGTCATCCGCGTAGGCAGATACTTTGTATTCCGTCGATCCCACTTTAATCCCAGTCACGTCCGTATTAGACCTAACGTGCCAGAGGAATGGCTCCTGGGACAAGGCGAACAAGAGTGGTGAGAGGGGGCAGCCTTGTCTGGTTCCATTGGAAATTGGGAAAGGATCGGAAAGCACGCCGTTCACATTAGCACATGCCGTTGGGCCAGAGTACACTGCCGAAACGCAAGATAACATGTGTTCGCCCAGACCGATGTGCTTCAGGGTAGCGAATAGGAATCCGATCGAAAGCCTTTTCAACGTCCGTGGAGAGAAAGAGGCATGGTATCTTTGATGTCGCTGCGTGATGGACAAGGTGAAGGGTCTTGATAGTGCTATCACGAGCTTCCCTAGCTGGGATAAATCCAACTTGGTCATAATGTATCAGATCAGGCATATGAGGGCTCAGTCTAGTCGCCAGTATTTTGGTAAATAGCTTCAAGTCTGTGTTTAGGAGTGATATGGGACGATAGCTGCTACAAGAGGAAGGGTCTTTACCTTCCTTTGGAATAACTGAAATATGGGCTGACAAAGAGTCTCTAGTGAGTTTAGAAGAGGATGACAAGGCATTGAATGCCTTAGTGAAACGCCCCGTCAGTTCTGCAGTCAAAAGCTTATAATACTGAGTTGTGAAGCCGTCAGGGCCAGGTGATTTTCCGGTCTTAGTAGATGTAAGTGCTGCAGTAAACTCTTCGGACGTTATGGGAGCCTCCAGTGCACCTCTAACATTTGCATCCAGGGAGGGCATAGCGCTCGAAGTCAAGTAAGAGGAGATCTTATCCTGTAAAGGGCCCCGAGGTATAGAGTCAGGTGTAGGACTCAGGTTGTATAATTTGGAGTAGTAGTCTCGGAAGGCATTAGCTATAGCCTTCGGGAGTGATACTTTAGTTTGTTGAGGTGTAACAACATGTGGCACGTAAGAGTGCAGCCGTTGTTCTCTCAGTGCTCTAGCCAGCAGTTTACTGCATTTATCTCCAGATTCGTAATATATCCGTCTACAACGTGTAAGTGCCACTTTTACCCTATAAGATGTCAGAGAGTTTATCTGCCGGCGTACGGAAGTCATGTCGGATAGTACGGTAGGAGAGCGGGTCGATTTATGCTGAAGCTCCAGGCCATGAAGAGTATGCAGGAGGTCAAGAAGTTTAGCATCTCTCTGACGTTTAACCCTGGAGCCATGTTTGATCAAAACACCCCTGATGTAAACTTTATGAGCTTCCCAGAGAAGAACGGGGTCACAATCCTCTATGTCGTTAAGGTTAAAGTATGAGCGCAGTTCCCTAGTGACATCTGACATTATAAGCGGGTCCTGCAGGAGGCTGTCATTAAGGCGCCACTGCCACGATTTGTGTGAAGGGAGGTCAGAGAGGGCCAGTCGCAAGAAAACCGGGGCGTGATCCGACCAAGTGATAGTACCAATGTCTGTGGCAGTGATCAGTGCTAAGTGCTGGTGGGACACAAAGAACATGTCAATCCGAGAGTACGAATCATGTGGCATAGAGTAGACTGTGTAGTCTTTCACGTTTGGGTGTTGTTGACGCCAGGCGTCGACAAGCTGAGCTCGATGAAAAGATCGGAGAATGCGTCTACTAGCTGTCGGGGAGAGGGGGGAGGAACCAGAAGTCGAGTCTAGGGAGGTATCCATGGCGATATTAAAATCACCTCCGAGAATCAAAACCCCTTCAGCATAGTTCAGCAACCTATCTTGAATGTTTTCGAGGAAAATCCCCTGGTTAGAGTTTGGGGCATAAATTGCCGCAAAGGTGACCACAGTGAGTCCAATCCGGCCTTTAAGGAACAGGAAGCGGCCGTCGGCATCGGTCTGAGAATCTATGAACGTCCTGGGAACCTGTCTAGATAGTACAATGGAGACCCCTCTCGATTTGGATGACACATTGCAAGAGTGGTAAGAGACTGGGAAGCGGGAATCTCTAAGCGGTGGAGCCGCATCAGCTCTAAAATGGGTTTCCTGGATGAAGGCTACATGAGAACCCCATCTCCTGAGATCGTGCAGTAATAGTCTCCGCTTCTCAGGGGTATTGAGACCCTTGGCGTTAATAGTGACCAGCCGTAGATCCTCCATGTCCCAATAATCGGAAGAGAGATAGTTTTTTTTTGTAGGTAGTAGTGTGAGAGAATGCGGGGAAACTAGGAGGGAGGAGGGAGAGAGTAAGAGGGGAAGAAAGGAAAAGGGAGAAAAAAAATAAATGAAGGGGTGGATTGGGGGTGGGAGTTTTTTTACCGGCAAGATGGGGGAAGGTCCGCTTGAACAGCAGAGCAGGGAACTATCTAGGAGAGGTCTAAACCTCAGCGGCAGGAACTCCAAACTATGAGGCCTGAAGATTGCCTGGCCTACGCGGGGGGGAAACAAAAAATAGGCCCAGCAACGGGTCACGGAGCGAGCAAACCACAACCGGCTCCGGGTTCACAGCTTCAGATAGAAAGAAATGCAGATAAATCGTTAGCACCTTAACAGTCTAAACTTACATAGTGTAAACGCACACACACACTCGGCGGCTGCCACTGTATATTGGCCAGTCCCGGGGTCATCATGCAGCGGAGGGAGTAGGCATCCGCGGTCCGCATAACAGCGGGCCTCACGACGCCATTGATCCCCCCGCCGGAGACCGCACCATGGCAGACCCCCAAAGGGAAGCTTCCCCAAGGAGAACACCCCAGGCCGACCTATATGTTCCCAAATGTGGGTGAGAGGAGTATACATGAGGTAGCAGAGTCAGTGAGGACACCGCCTGGGCCAGCTGGGTGTCCATCTTAGTCACCTCTCAGTATTAAAGGAGGGTGGTGGGCGGCCTGGTGAGAGCTCCAGAGGAATCCAATACAAATAAGTAAAGGCAAGAGTAATAAGGGGAGAAGGCTATACAACCCTCTCCACGAACAATAAAGTTCAACAGTCTCAGGGAGCATTACCGAAAAATACTCAACAGTAGTCATAAATCACATTAACATTGCCCCCTAGAGAGGGTGAGCCCCAAGGGAGCCCTCCAAGTCAGTCCAATGTTCCCTAGTCATATAGGAGCGAACTATGGAGGTAATGGTATATAGGTGCAGAACGGGGAATAACGCTACTAGGTCTCTCAGCCCCAGTAACCTAAAGTAAGAAGTTTAGTATGGTAGACTCGGTGGGCCCCCCAGAATGACCCAAGGCACGTAAGGAATGCCCTTACTAATGAAGAGGTTCCCGCAGTGTACTCCTCCACGACAGAGTCCAGCTGTACCTGCGGGAAGTCCAAGAATAACAGCTACACATGAGCAGAGTTAAAGTATACTCGGTCCATTTAAGGGAGTCCCAGGTTTCCAGAACTGGCAGCTGAACATCTAGCAAAGTCCGGTTCACAGTTCATTTTGCGATGGAATAAGGTGCTGGGGTCCACGCTCTCTTGGCGTTGGGTGGGCCCGTCTAGAAGGATGCTCAGATGGATGATAGCGAGTAGTGTTCGGGTAGTGGGACGGTCGTCCAGCAACACGGGTACCGTCGGATCTGTAAGCAGGATCCAGCAGAGCCTGTATCCAGTTAGGCACGGGGATGGTGTCAGTCTGCAAGAAGGAGAAGAGTGCCGGCAGGTCGTCCGGAGAAAACAGCCGAAAGGATACGTCCACTTTCTGGACAATAAGGTGGAACGGATAGCCCCATTTGTAGGTAGCCCCGCACTCGCGAATCTTATCCAGCAGGGGACGGAGAAGGCGTCTCATAAGCAATGTATTCCTGGAGACATCTGGATAGAGGTGGATCTGGGCCCCGTCAAAGTCCAAGGTGCCCTTTCGCCAGGCCTGGGTCATGATCTCCTCCTTTTTGGCATAGTGATGAACTCTGCAGATGACATCTCTGGGGCGGGCCACTTCTGCTGAGCGAGGTCCCATTGATCTATGGACCCTGTCCAGTTCAATCGGGGTTCCAGGAGGAGTTCCAAGATAAAGATTAAGAATCTCACATACCGTCTCTTTGAGATCCGCTGCGCTAGTTGATTCCGGGATTCCCCGAATGCGGATATTGTTCCGGCGTCCACGGTTGTCTTGGTCATCCGTGGATAGCAGAACCTGAATCATCTGTTGTTGGTGACGTGTATGTGTACGTTCCAACAAGGTAACTCTCTCCGAGAGATCCGAGTTGGTCTGTTCCACCTCCGTAAGCTTCGATGTGAAGGTCGTGATTTCTTGCCTAATTTCGGCAACATCCTGCTTATATATAGATTCAATGCGTGCTGCGAACGCCTCAAAGTCTGCTTTAGTGGGGATGAGTGCAGCAATATCCGCCCTTGTTGGCAAAGCATGAAGCAAGGATCTAAGATCTGTATCCATATGGGGTTCATTATGTGAGCCCGGCGCAGTCCATTGGGGTTCTGCAGGCAGTGGAAGCCTGGGGGAAGCCGAGCGCCATGAACCCAGTGAGCTCTCCTCCCCTGACATAGCAAGAGGCAGCGTCCATGCGGTCTGTTCCAGCATCTCGTTTGTGGTATCCAGAACTGAGTGGTGGCATGTGCGGGGTGGCAATGGAGATGGCCTGTGCTCTGTGCTGCCGGATGCAGGTGAGAGTAGAGCAGGTGCCAGTAGGAGCGCCCCCTGCGGGAGCTCCGCAATTGAGCCCGGGGCTTCTTTGGCCTGCACTGGTGAGAGCAGAGGAGAGGTGCTTACCTCCTCGTGAGGCGCAGAGAGCCGCCGTCCCCTTCCAGGAGATGTGTCCCGATCCGCGGGTGTCAAGGGCAGCCCATCATGCGGTGTGGACCAGTGACTGCCATCTGGGTGCCGGAGCTCAGCATCCGTGAAGCTCCTGGATGGCCGCGGCTCGTGAGCCGAAGTGGGAGGAGCCAAAGCCGGCCGCCGTGGAGCAGCGTCCGGCAGCTTGCCTCGTAATGGAGGGTGGGGAGAAGCAGGCCTTGGGTCCTCTGGACGGGGATTCCCATCAAACAGGCGGCTGAAGGCCGATTTGGGGGTCGATTTGTTCCCCTTCTGCTTGCCCTTCTTGGACATGGTGTGCGGAGTGTATAAGGTGGGTTAAGGTGCTGGTATTAGCTGAGCTGGATACGGAGCCACAGATGTCTGCTGCTCACACGGCCATTGCCAAGCCACGCCCCCCAAAATTCACATTTATTAGCACAAGACCCTTGGAGGTTTGTTCAAAAGCATTCTCACCTACATGAGTATTCTAAAAATTGTATTCAAATGGGCATTTTTTTTAACACTGGTAGAAACAGAGACACCAGCACTCCAAATTGATAAGCAAACGTCTATTTATTGACATGCAGTGTAGCAAAAAGCAACAAACGTTTTGGGGTCACAAAGGATCCCCTTCCTCAGTCAAAAAGCATAGGTATGCAATTTGGAGTGCCGTTGTCTCTGTTTCTACCTGTGATCATAACGGATGCCACCCGTTGACTACCGCAACACCTGCTTCTTGAAGGGATTTGGCGGTCAGGAGTGCGATGGGACCATGGACTCTTTTTTTTAACACTGTCTCAGTGTGATAAAGAGATGATAAGGGTCCCAACCGATCCTATGCAAGAGGCCTTCAACAACATCTATAACACACATGAAGTGGCATTCTAAAATCTGTAACTGCAATGTAGAGACAACCCTATGAAGGACAGTCCACAAGCTGGAGTATAGGGGAGATGAATGCCAGGGGAGTGCAGGGGATCAGTTAAGTAAATGCCTTAACCCAGGTACACCAGACCTAAAGAAGCAGTTGATCCTTGCAATGTAGCCACTGCAAGGGGAGGTTTCCCCTTCCTCCCCGGAGATAGGCTTTAACACTCGAAGCTCATTTTCAATCAGTTGAGCAATTTCCATTGTGAGAAAGAGTAGTAAAGCACAACCAATGTGTAGCACTGGAAAGTAGGATACAGAGTCTGCACATGTAAATGAACAAATATGCATCAAATATGGATGCTCCCATATGCATATTATACACGGAAACATTAACACAAATAAATAACATTATTATCATCAAACTGATCTCTTTTATTCATGGGCACACTGCAAAATTGCATGAACATTCTAATTCTAATTTCCTCTGCTCCTTCGCTCCATCTAGTGGCCATAAAGATGTATTTTTCTGATATTACATTCGACCAGGAAAGAAAATATGCTAATGTTTGTTTTTGCCTTCATTCACACAGAATGGATGGAAATGCAGAGCAAATGGCTGTGTGAGTTGTTTATAAATACACCTCAATATTAATTTCCTTTAAGGGAATTTGTACTCTAGATTGACAGATGCTTTAAAGTGATGTCACTCACCTGACACTTCTCACAGCATTCTCCATCTGAACATACAGCTCCTGCTTTCAGATTACATGTGAGGGCATCACAGCAGGGATTGGTGCATTCCTAATAAGAAAAACACAATGTGTCCAATGCGCTCATTATATGGCGGTAAGTATAAACAGTACCAAGAAATAGTTCTCAAAATCAGTCCAGTCAACAAGATGAAGAATCCGCAGCAATTAATTAAGTAAAGTAGTGACTACTGTATGTATCCATTTAGGGGCACCTAGTAGGATATGAGTACAGAGCCTGTTCCATTATTATTATGATTATTATCTTTCAAGATTATTATCTATCAAGTGGACTCCAGCATTTGAACAGCGCAGGAAGTGGACATCATCTGTCCAATGTACGGGTACCCTGAGTTCACAGCAGTATCATTCAACAACAGACCTTTTAGTCAGTGGATTGTGGGAATTAGGTTAAGAAATATTTTGTCAAATTCTCTGTCATCTAATCCCAATTTGCTATAAATGCCGACCTTTGTATTTAAGGGACTCAATGAATTGTAATTTGAATTACAATTTAATTGTTTAGTAACGCTTACAGGTCTCGAATTCAATGGGAAGCAGCGCACAGCTTTAACATTGTCTGGATACATTTAATAATGTACTAATGAATGCAGAGCTGCAATAATGTATGACTTGTATATCTGCCTGGAGTTCATCATGAATGAGAAAATGGAAGTATCTATGTTTACTGCACTTCTCCTTTGCTGCTTATTGCTTGCTACAAACCTACAGATGCACTTTACCCTCTTCTGTCTTGAGTGAAGGTTAGAATAAAGACTGACCTGTTCAGTTCCACAGTCACACTGCTCTCCCATCTCCACAAAGTGGTTTCCGCACACTGGTGGGGCCATACTGGTCTTTTTATTGGGTTCATTCAACAGACACGTGGGCACCTTGGTCATCAGGAAAGTCTTGAACTGGTCCAGGCTGCATTGACTAAATGTATTAGGGATGGGAGAACTGTAAAAAGAGAGAGAGAGAGAGAGAGAGAGAGAGAGAGAGAGAGAGAGAGAGAATGATTAATAACTCAGAGAGAAAGGAGGCAGGCAATGAAATGGTGGTATTGTAGTAGAAGATCCCAGACCAGTGTCTTGTGGGGTCAAAGTACAATCCATGTTTATTGAACGTATACAGTATATGCTACGTTAGACATGATCCTTCACGGCCACTCGAGAATCTTCAGATCTTCGGACAGGAGCAACCGGCGGAGACACAGGTAATTTCTTTCCTATTTTGTAGCTTTTCTAAATTATTTTTTCTAATGTATGTGCATATATCTACGGCTTGCAGTAGATACAGTATATGCAAAAAAAAGCCTAAGGTTTAAAAGGGTCACTGGAGGACATATAGTAGTGTCCTCCCGTGACCCAAAGCTCAGTATATCGCGAGCTACAGCTCACGGTATACTGAGACCGGCGCAGCCGAGACGGATCCTGACATTACTGTCGAGATCCACCCAGCTGCCTGAGTGACAGCTGGCTCTGACTAGAGGCAGAGCCAGCTGTTCCCGCCCCCTCCCTGTCCGTTCCTCCAGTCAGCGCTGGAAGATCAGGGCGGGGAGGGAGGAATCCATGCGGGTCCTCAATCTCTTTTTCTGTATCCCCTGTTATCAATGAACAGGAATCCTCTGAGTGTTCCTGTTTATTCATAACATGATGACATAGTGCGTTTACTATAACCACAATCATGAATGAACATGAGGTGATGCAGATCACTCCCATTCATTCATAATTGAGGATACAGTACACATACCATGTCCTCAATTATCTACAAACACTCAGCAATCACTGAGTGTTTGTACCTCGCTCTCCTCTCTGACACGCTGTCCCAGGAGGCTGACCGAGCGGAGCAGGGAGGAGAGCTCAGCCTCCTGTGACAGCGTGGCCTGTCTCCGCCCACACACCGCTCTGCCTGACTGTGATAGGAGGCTGAGGAAAATAAAAATAAAAAATGAAGAAAATAATAAAAATATTTTAAAGAAAAAAAATAAAAATAATAATTTACAAAAAAACGATGCACGCCGACCCGATCGCACATGAGGAACCCCCACCGCATAATGTCGAATCTGACAGATGCCAGCAAAGTATAAACAACTGTTTCCTAATGGCCGGCACCTGCAAGAGTATTCTAACAGGTCCCTCGCAATAAATAACAACTGGGTGGAGCCAGCCGTGATGTCACAGCCGGCTCCGCCTAGTTTTTTATTGTTTAATGACAGATCCGCGCCCCCAGGACATTTGGGGACGCTGATCTGTCATTACAATCGGGCGGAGCGAGCCGTGAGATCACGGCTGGCTTTGCCCAGCTGTCATTTGCGTGAAGATCGATCGGCCCTTTGGAAGGCCTTTCTCCACTCTTCACCTGTCACTATGGCTCAGCTGTATGGGTTATAGTGAATAGCCCCATACAGCAGCCCAACTGAGCCCTAGGGCTCCGATGGCCATAGTGAGCCAAAGGATCAGCCGAAACTACGGCTGGATCCTTCGGCTCATTAGTGATTAACCTTCTTAGTTTCTGGAGGTAGGTTGAGACAGAACCTACATATACTAAGCTCTTACCAACAATATTCCATTATTTTTGCTCACTTGATCAAACAAGAGCATCCTGTTGTTGGTCTATAAGATTCTATTCAGCTTTTATATCCTCTAATAGTATTGTGACCTCATTCTTATCCCTGCTGTTCCTAAAAATTGCTTATTTATTCCTCAGCTTCTTCTGTAGGGAAATGAGTACCAATAAGAGACGATGGACATATTACCATATGCTCTTTACGTGAACGTTTGCTTAATTATTTTCTCCACAGCAAATCCTGCTTCAAATATTATTACCTCCACATCCACTAAACATGTTTAGTACCTAGAATGTATTACTGTCTTTCCATGTTTCTTCCTGAACAGCTAACTTAATTCCTTTTGTGTAGTTACTTAAAGCAGAACTCCAGTTAAGAATGGAATTAACCCTTGCAGTGGGGCTACTGCAGGAATTTGTGATAAATACAGCACTCTTCCCCCAGCCTGTGACTGCACAGTGCAGGAGCAGCAGCAGACTGATGAGGCCATCTCTCTGCTCACTCAGATCTCTCCACCTGTCAGCTTGCTCCTTGCCAGCTTATTTCCATGCAGCACATCTGATTGTCCCCAGTCCTGGCCCTCCCTTTCCTAGTTTGAGAGTGCTGCTGTACAGGGTGTGACGGACCCCCAGTACTCAGGATGAGTATGTCCGCTGCTGTCTTCTTCCTTGCTCAAGATATATTGCATCCCACTAATCTTTAGCTCCCAGTTTTCCCAGACAGTAGTTGAGACCCGAGTGTAGGGTGAAACAAACTCTGATTTTTTGAGCAACTGTGCAACCTTTTACACAGAAAGCGATCAGATCAGATTATAATCCCATCACATCCAACCTGCCCTCCCTAGACATTCTGACTGCACAACCCAGCAGGGCCCCAGCCAGTCATAGCAGGAGTGTGGCCAGACGCAGGAGAATGTCATTGTCCTGAGCTCCTTGGAGTACAAAGGGAGCATAACGAGGGGTGGTGCTGACAGTCTTTTGATAAACAGGTTACACAGTATAACTCACTTAAACATAACACAACACCAATACACATATAACCCATAAACTGACGACCATGTCATCGCACAGGGTATTGACGCAGTGTCCTGTAGTGATGTAAAAGTTGGCTGAAGGAACTAATGAGGGCTGTGGGGGACAGTGTAGATTAATACACTCAAAAGTGTAGGCTTCCCCATAGATCTATGGTGCTGAATCCTCTTCAACAGAATGGCATCTGGTGATGGGAGCAGCAGGAGCGGTAAGGTTTTAAATTCTTTTTTACAGGGAGCTGCTTTAACATTTCTTATCTTACCCGACATACGGCGACATTATGCAAGTCAATGAGGAACACGAGCAGTTTGCGTTATCATGATTCACTCCCAAGTTGTGGGAAATCTCGTGGACAAATGTGGCTCCAACAGCGGCTGCTGACTTAGTGAAGTCCTGAAGGGAGAAGGAAAATATAAGAGACACCGGAAGTAAACAAGGTCTGGATATAGACATGTACGGAAAAGAAAACAAAGTCAATGTTCAGATGATATTTTGCAACTACAAGTACCAGCATGGAACTCCTGCATGCACTGCTGCAGCAGGATATTGAGAAAATGTGAAATATTTATTGGTCAACATCAGTTGATTGTTTTCTACAAGTTTTGAAAATTTTGTTTTGCAATTATTGCAACCAACTTCCTGTATGACCTGGGTGTGATGGACACAGCCACTGGGGGTCTATCACCAAGGGGAATGCTGCCTAGAACACCGGCAGGAGTTGGGGGGTGTGGGGTATATAGAAGGGCTGCGGGAGATCAATAAACATGGAACTGGTTTCAAAGCAGTCGTTGACACTTTTGAAGTAATATTGCAGCTTGATGAATGGGAAGGGCCAGCATTCTATTACTACTCAGTGAAAGTCATCTCAAATGTGCTTTAATACTTTCTGCACTGGAGCACTTACTCATAAGACCTTATGAATAGGCTTGTCAGCATGAACTGTGTCCAGGTGGTTTTGAGATGACTGCTTTTTTTTTGTGTCTTGCACCAATAAAACTTGATTGATTCTGGAGATTTTTTTAACCCTGGGACATTTTATTTGTTTGCTAATTTGCTGCAGTGAAAGGAGCTGAGGTCTAGGAGGGAGTAGGACAGGTATTGTATTAGATCCCCCAAGCGGCAGCACAGTGTGTCTTTCAAAGTGGAGTCACTAGACAAGACCGCACAATGAAATCTCTGACTGTTCAGTCATGCTGGCAAGCACTGTAGCGTCAATGGTCAGAGAAACAGGCAAGACTGGGCTTATTCAAGCAGTTGAATATTCATTCTTAAATTATTCTAATTGTGCAGGTTTACTTATGAGGTCGCAGCTGACTGTGCCCTGGAGTTCCTCCACTTAGAGGAGCCCCTGGTAACCGCTGAATACCAGGATATGTAATAACCGCTAATGTCAGTACCGGGGCCTCTTCCTCCTGTCCTGGGCCCTACTTGTTTCACGCTGCTCCCCTCACCTTGTTCCGGGCGCAGCGTGAAGTATGATCCAGCCGGCGCAGCAGCCAATGAGCGGGAAGCAGGGTTATCCCATCCCCCTCATCACACAGAACTGCTGCCGAATAGAGAGCTGCATGGGTAAGAGAGACCTGCTGCGGACACGAAGGGGGAGATGTAGGGAGCTGGGAATATGAAGAGGACATGGGAGAGGAGAGTGTGGGCTCCGTGAGCAGAAAGCTGGGGACGTGAAGAGGAGATGGGGGATGCTGGGACATGGAAAAGGAGAGTGTGAGGTCAGGCAGAGGAGAGCTGGTGTCATGAATGAGGAGGTAATGGGGACATGAAGGGGGAGTGTGTTATTTTTTTTGTCTAAAATTTATTTGTTTGGTTTTTTTTTTTAAATAAATGCAACCAATGTTTTTCTTCCTGGGGGGGGAAGGGGGGCCGTTCATGGATTCTTGCACCGGGGCCCTGAGGTCACTAGTCACGCCTCTGACATTAATAAATGGACGTTTGTTGATTTCACTTAAATGGTGTGCTTGTGACATCCTTTTGTAAACTAGCTTATATTTTAGGCTTCTAAATCTCACCTGGACAACTCCAGCAGAATATTGTTCATTGCACATAACCCCGATATGTGCCAATCCAACTGTAACACCATCAAAGTCTATAGCCCTGCAAGATAAACAATATTGTGTAAGAACAAATGATCTCTCTCTAGAAATATGTATAGTTTCTGTCTAGGGATGGGTTGGACGTTCGAGTCAAACGTGAGTTCGACTCGAACATCGCTAGTTTGTGTGTTCGGCGTACGGGAGTACGTCGCGAGTGCACGGGACGGCGGTCGTCTTTTAAAAAAATGATTATGATTACTATTTATTATTGTTTTATTTTTTATGTTGTTGAGTCGTCGCCATGGACAAAGCTGGACGTCGTGATTGACCCTTGATTACTTCAGTGGATCAATTTTTTTGGGGGGTGGAGGGGGGGTTAACAATAAAGGACTTGTCAAAAGTCTTTATTGTGTTTTTTCTTTTTAAAATAAAAGGATTTTTTCCCTTTATGGGTTGCATGGGTAGGGGTACAAGTACCCTTTACTCATTCACAAGGGAGGGGGGCAACATCTGGGTGCCCTTTTTAGGGGTACCCTGATGTGAATAAGCCCCCTGCCCGCACCCCCACAACCAATGTCCCAAGGCTTGTGGGGAAGAGGCCCTTCTCCCCATCGGCACGGGGACAAGGTGCTTTTCCAGGGGCGACCCTGTAAAAGCACCTTCCCAGTGCCGCGGGCATGGGGCTTGGTCGTTTGCCCCCCCCCTTTTCTGCCAGGCCTATGCTCAGGTCAAGGGTCTGGTATGGACCCCACGTTTATTTCCCCCCATTTTTGGGGGTAGGGTTACTCCTTAAAATTCCTACCAGGCCTTAAGGGCTTGGTATGACTTTAAGGGGGAACCCCACACACTTTTTTGTTGTCTTTTTTTACATGGGGTCCCTCCTAAAATTCCTACCAGACCTGAAGAGTCTGGTATTGTTTGGGAGGGGGAACTGCATGCTTTAAAAAAATGGCAGGTTAAGGGGACCCCCCCAGGCACGATATTTAAAGACATTTTTCATTGTTATTGTTACCCTTTAAGTGATGTTAAAATCACTGCTCCTTTAAAATCTGTGTTTTTTAAAAGTTTTTTTTCCATTGATACCTGTCCCCCAGGGCAGTACCTGAATCCCAATACACTTTTTATGGCCAATAACTTGCGTATAAGCCCTCTTAAAGGGGACAATTGTTTTTTAAAGTTCTACCCCATAGACTTGCATTGAGTTTGAGTTCAAACTTTTTGGATGTTCCAAAGTTCGAATTCGAACCGAACTTGGGCCTGTTCGGCCCATCACTATTTCTGTCATTGGCATAGTGCACATGTGGTTCATGAAATTCTAAATGTCTCCGTATCTATGAGACATGGCCAAAGGCAAGAGCATTCCCAGTGAACCAGATCCCCCAGATGCCTTGGAGTAAAGCCTACTCCTTTAAAATGAAAGGAGTCAGGTGAAGGGGTTTGGATAACGTGTCATGTCCTTCTGAAGCCCACTGAAGCTATTTTTAGCATTGGTGTGGTTGGAGGTCCTAAAAGAGACCCACAAGACTTTAAAGGATTACATCTACCATTTGGTTTTGGAAATGCCATATTGAACTTTCTGTATAATTCAGCCAAATACTGTATATTGCAGGTGCATCAAAAGAAAATGTGTCTTAAAAAAAGCACATGGTAAGGTATGTGCTACCTCAATGTCAGTGCCATTCCTTTTATTTGGTATCACAAGGCATTAATTGCTTTGAAGGTGACTACATGAAGCTAGTTTAGAGGGAAATTAATGCTAGTTAGGCTAGATACATTGAAAAATGCCTGAAATACAGTATTTTGGGTAAATATCTAACTGGGTTACATTATTTTTCAACAATTAATAAGAAAAAACGTTAAAGGAGAACTATGAGGCGAGTAATTTTCACTCATCCTCATACTTTGAGCCGATGTGTGACAATTAAACTGTCACATGCCGGCTTAACCGTCGCTCGCTCACTTCTCGATCATCTCCCTGCAGAGAGCCGTGACTGTCACTCACGGCTCCCTGCAAGGATTCCCCCCTCCCCGCTCCGATCCTCCAGGGCTGACTGGTGGAACAGACAGGGAGGGGGCGGGTACAGTTGGCTCTGCCTCTAGATAGGCAGTGCCAGCTGTCACTCACGCAGCTGGGTGGATCTCGACAGTAATGTCAGGATGCGTCCAGGCTGTGCTGGTCTCAGTATACCGCAAACTGTAGCTCGCGATATACTGAGCTTTGGGTCACAGGAGGAGGCTAGTATATGTCCTCCCGTTACCCTTAGGAGAACTATGGGGAAAAACACTTACCCCATAGTTCTCTTTTAACTATGTTTATTCTGACTTATTCTGGAATTGTATTCTATTAAACCAAAACTATGGATATTACTATTTGACAACCAGATCATATCTGCCAATCAGAGACTTACGAGAAGAGATAAGCATTGTCGTGCGCTAATCTAGGCAATAACATTTCCTTCCTCCATTTATTGAAGTTCTGTAAACATTTCCCCATTGAGGAGTTCACTTCCATCTGGTTCTTTGTTTCCCAGATCTCAAGCCCAACAAGAACCACAGAAACGTTTATCGCCTTGAACACCTGTGTAAGAGAGAATAACAGCCTATAAACAACTGCGAGGTATTTCGAGATAACACATTTCCACAACTGCAAGAACTCTAGACTGAAATCTCGCTTGCAATTATAAGTTAATGTATAGGAAATAATCAAAGCTTGCATTCCTTGGGGACATAATAGGTATGCCAGTCTTTTGAATCTTGTCAAAAAATGTTCTCAAAACTTTTTCAGTATGACCCCAAAAATTTCTGTCCATTTCACCTGGGAAAGAGCCAAACAGACTTTGTGAGCTCTCCCTTAGTCAACATTCAAGCTAAATCATGAGGAAATACATTGTTAGGCATTAGGCAGTTAGAACAGGATGACTCGGTCTGCCCAGCATCACACTCTTACCTCTACTCTCAGACAGCTAGTCGTTCCTACAGGTCACTCAGCTGCCATATAACTTTCTGAGATTCATTGAGCAGAGCCTGACCCCTGATATTTCCCTTTTAAAATAGAAGAGATTGAGGATGCAATCTCTTTTTCTGCAGCCCCCAGCACTCAGTGAACAGGAAGCTCTCAGAACACTAAATATTTACTATCAACCCAGTCATGAATGGACAGTAAGCCTCTGTACAGAGCTGCTTCCTGTTGATTCATAAAGTGAGCAGATAGTAAATATTTACTATGTCCCCATTCATAAATGAACAGGAAGTGATGTATATCACTTCCTGTGCATTCATAACTGGGGACATAGTAATCACTATGTCCTCAGTTATTTACAAACACTGAGTGATCAGTACTGATCACTCAGAGTTCATGCTCCACTCTC